ATATATATATATATATATATCAATAAACGAAGCAAACTCTACACTGGCACTCACACAATTAAAATCGCAGCAGCGCCCAATAGTAGCGCCGCTAAAAAAAAACAACTGCAAAAAAGAAATGCGGCGCACCTCATACTATCTATCCCCGCCCTTCTTTTACCCTTCGAGAGGGACACCTATGAAGAGCATAGAGAGAGAGAGTGTGTGTGTGTGCGTGTGGTTGTTATAAGCTTTCCAGGATCCGGCGGAAGCGAAGCGATCCAGTGCTCTTCACCCTCGGGCCCAAACCCACAGAGGGACGACGCGGCGGTCGCAACGAAGGCAGGAAACGCCCCTCTCCGTTCCTCGTATTCTCTGACTCCTGATTCTCCCCTGCGTCCCGCGAGGCCTCGCCAGCGTAGCCCGACGTGGGCGACGGCGTCCGCACCGTGTTGTGTGATCCATCAAACACATTAGGAGTGGACCCGTCAGCGATAAATTGCACCTGTGTGTCTGAGCGTGAGCCCGTCCCTGGCGTAGTGCAATGGGAGCTTATACAGGACGACTGGTGTGAGGTGAAAGGTGACGTCCCCGAAAACCCATCGAATGCCTCGGCGCACACCTTCACGTTCGCACACAAAGAAGATTCTTTTCGCGTGTACTGTCGGAACGTAGATTCTCCTAAGCGTACAAACACCTTGTAGTCGTGCAGGCCTTTTGCCACAACACCTGCGTCTACACGCAGCTTCTTCGTATCGTAGTTTTCCAGCGGTGAAAGGAACCATTCCGTGTCTCTCCCTGGCTGATATTCCCCTACGAGGCAGAGACAGTTGAGACGACACCCCTCATTCTCGTAGTTGTCCGCCGAGCGGCTAACTTTCGTCATCACGAGCACCACATCTCCCGCGGTGATTTCCTCCGGGAGGTCCATGAGTGAGCTCCCACCACAGCAGCTACCGCCTCGGACACGCACGCAAGACCGGCTCGACACACAGCAGCTGGGACAATCGCCACAAGCTCTTTACACGTACGTGGCTGCAGAAAAACAAAAATAGAGAAAAGGTATGAAGAGCAAAAGGGGTAACAAGCAGAGACGTAGAGGAAGAAAAACAGAAATACATAAATAATAATAATAAAGGTATATATCCAATCTCCTTCACGTCATCACCGAAGAAGTTGTCTGACACTTCCACAGCAATCATCATTCTTGCTACAACAACAAATATGCACCAGTTACCTCCCCCATCCCCCACATACCACTCCTTTTTGCTTTTTTTTTCTCGTCGTGTTCTTCTAGTTCCACCCTCTCATTCTCCATAACAGCCTTGCCTCCCTTTTTTTTTTCTCTCAGTTCAGCTCACTACGTAGCTGCCACGATATTACGCGGTAATCAGGGAAATACGGTCTTCACTGCCTCGATAATCACAGTCACAGCATTCTGCAGATCCTCCTTGGCAGCCTTCCCTTTTATCAGGATTCGAAGTGCCGGGAAATGTTCGCATTTTTCCTCTGTATCATAGATGTGTCGCAGCACCAGCACATCCTTTTCCCTTGCCGCACGCACCACTTGTTCAATCTCCTCCTCCACTTTTTGTGGATGATCCCTCACATAGGCATCTGTTGGACGCAGGACAACAATTGGAGACATGTCACCTTCACATTCCATCATCCTTATTTTCTCCGCATTGAAATTCGCCTGCCGAAGAGCTTGACGGAAAAACTTCGCGTTGTCGCGCACCTTCCGCGGGTACGAGTTGTCCTCGTCCAGAAGAGTCAGCGCGGCAGACGCAGCCGACGTGACATATGGCGGCAGAGACGCGGAGAAGACGTACGCTGACGCACCGAGGCGCTGGTAATCTATCATGCTCTTCTCCCCAGCGCAGAAGCCACCAACAGCCCCGAGTGCGGTGCTCAAACTGCCAACGTAGACGTCAATCCTACTTGTCGGTATGCCGAAGTGTTCGTGTGTGCCGCGGCCCGTCGCTCCCAGGCACCCGAAGCCGTAACTATCCTCCAGGATGATGCGAAACTTGTACTTCTCACAGAGCTCCAGGATCTTCGGCAGGTTACAGATGTCGCCAGTGCTCTTGAAGAGACCCTCCGTGACGACGAAGCGGCGTGAGATTTTCTTTGCTTCTATCTCCTTCGCTGCCACGTCTTTCAAAAGTGTCTCCAGCTGCGCCATGTCATTGTGGCGGTATTTTCCCACATTGGCACGCGACAGCGTGCAACCGTCCGCAATGGCTAGGTGAACACCGTCGTCCATGATGAGATGCTCCCCTCTTCCCGCGTAACAGGAAATAAGCGTCGCCACCGTGGTAGACGAGAAGCTGTAAATGATGGCGTCATCAACGTTAAGGAACTTCGCGATATCCTTCTCGGCATCCATGTGCGGCTTGATTGTGCCGTAGAACCCGCGCGGGCCGCAGCTGCCGACGCCGTACGCCATCACTGCGTTGCGTGCCACCTCCACAACGGCTGGGTGCGTCGAGAAGGAGTGGAAGTCCTCCGTCGCCAGGTCGAGGCAGCGCCTGCTACTGCCGCCCCGCCCATCCCGCACCGTGATGTGGCAGCCGTCACGCGAGTCCACCTCAGTCATACCAAGCCCGTTGGGAACCACTGTGTTCGAGGTAGGCTTGCTGCCGTCGCGGAACATCTGCGAGCGGTATTGGGCGATGCGGCGCTCCTGCTCCTCCAACGACGGCATCTCCACTGCCACCTCCTTCGACTTATTCTTCTTCTTCTTCTTGCCATACGTCTGCAGCAGGAGGATCGTCAATGCAGCAGCGAAAACAAGCTCAAAGAATATGTAGAAAGGGTGCTCCACCACTTGTGTGAGCACCACCGACAAAACAGCTGTCATTGGCATATCTATTTTTTGTGCACCTTAAAACCACAAAACATTGCAAGCGCGGGGAGAGTGAATGAGGCATGTAATTTGCAAAAAAAAAAAATAATAATTTCTATATAGCAACACAGACACACATCGACGCAAATGCAGTGTAACACGAAGAAGTGAGCGGCAACTACAAGTCGCACTGGCTCAATGCTGAGGAAACAAACAAGTCGTATTCTAAACGACGCATTCGGCGCAGCAGCACCCAACGCAGGAAATACGGCTGCAGGAGAAATACCGCATTTCGCTGTTCAAGTTGCAGTGCCAATACTATACGGACAAGCCACAACTTCCACTTGTGAAAGGTGCGACGTGCTACCCGCCAGTAGGAGCTGTGTCCAATGCATCGAAGCGACTTGCATATGTGCGCATACCGCCGCCACCGCACCAAAAACCTGTACACGAAATGCTCAAGAGTGAGCCGTTCCATATGAGAAACCATGATACGGCGGGAAACAAAAAAGAACCACTTTTGCAGAGTGCGTCGAGCCAGAGTACGCTGAGCCGCATAGCGAATAAGCTTCAGTTGCGTGGCCTGGAGCACCCGGCGTCTTTGACGCTTCCACGCATAGTAGTAGCGCTGCAGCAAACGGGTGGTATGGCATGCAGACAGAGTTGCCACCTTCTGGCGCAGCACTCGACGTGACCTCACGACCATTTGCCACCTGTTGTAGTGCTGCTTCGAGGTGTGCAATTCTGCCTCCTTCCGAATTCTATGCAGCACCATCAGCTGAAGTGCCCGTCTCTGCCGAAACTGCGGAGCCAGCCTCCACAGCCTCAAATACCGACGTGCCAGGAATAAAGAATTCTGCCTATCGACACGGCTCCGCAGTGACCGCACTGTCACGGCGCGACGTGCGAACAGGAACCACTTGTAGAAGACTTTTAGTGTAAACTCACCAACGGCCCTAGCCCTGATACCCTTAAGACTGAAAAATATATCACACTCATTGGCAAAACGCCTCCATTTCATGAAGTAGCGTCTCATGAGAAGCAAGGGCTCCCTCATGGACACCATGCAGATCAAGGCAAACGACAGTGGCGGGCGCAACGATGATGGTCCCTGTGCTCTGGTTGGAAGCACCGCGTCCACCCTGCCTGTCGGCAGCTTTACGGTTGTGCTGTCGGCTAGGACATAGGGATTAAGTAGGATCAGCGAGCCACAGTCGCCGTGTGCAGTGGACTCCCACCGACGGCTGCGCATCCCACGCCGCCTAGCGATGCAACCTAGAACGCTTGCAGTAGCAAAAAAGTCATAGACAACAAAAGCAGCATATTTCAGCCCCAAAGGCTCACGAAGCTGTAAAAGATAACAGCGAAGTCCATTCCACCCTTGAATGTCATTGATGAAGTGTATCTCAGTTAATACGATGCTTTTTGCGTGGTCTTGGAGGCCGTCCTTCGAGGAAGGTAAGCACGTTACACGCCGCAGAGCACACATCGTCAGCGTCCAAAACAGTTGACGACGTCCCATCCTTAGCCACATTTTTACTCGACCAGCTCTCCACAAATGCCACCAAGGCAGATACATCATCCAAAGACCTTTTCTCATCTGTAAAAGTGTCATTGCTGTCATTCTCAGCATCATCTGTATGAGAAGCTGTTTTCTCTGAGACCTTATCAAAGGTTTCAACCTTTTGCGAGAGAAACAGCATGTAGAACAGAATGGCGTCACCAATGACGTTGGGGGCACCGCACAACGACTGTGCAACAAGGGCATGTAAGCATTTAAGATCCTTCGCATGGCTAACTGCTGCATTGCCGTACTTGCGGTTGCCCTGTGACTCGGAGCCCGAGGTAAAATGAGAACTGAAAAACTCCCACCGCTCAGCGCTCAGCAGCGCTCGGGCGCGTTCCTCGTAATGCCTATGTGAGGCCACATGCTGCGCGGCCACATTGGCGTTGTTATCGACGAGTTTCTGCAACGCACCAACCGCGCCATGCCGCTCGAGCCGTGCAACCATGGTGTTCAGGTAGGGGCAGGTGAGCCAGAAAAGCGTCGCCCCCACAGCGGCAGAGCGACCGTTCCGACCGGTCTTTCCAGCAGTTGAGCACAACACCGCAGCGCCGCCATGCTGCCTGCAGCTTGCTAGCTGCACGTCGGCCACACGGTAGCTCGCCTGGTCGGCGGCAGCCTCGAACGCGCTCGGTTTCTTGAGAGGGCCCGCCAACTGCATGACTTTCGGCACTATTGTGGCTTCTCTCCCCCCTTACCTCTGTTCTCGTGCCCGCCTTTTTTTTTTGTACGTTTGATGTGCAACACGCAACAAACAGAATAAGGATTGAAGGACATAACATTCACAAGGATGCAGGGGAAAACACAAACAAAGCACGAGAGTTGGAGTTCCACGCAAAGCAAATAGGACAAGCGGTGAATAGCTGAACAAAAACACCACTGGCAGATAAAGTACTGCTCTACATATTTCCTAGGCTACTCCACTCTGTGCACTAACGCCACAAATGCGCCACAAGCACAGACATAGAATCCATAGCCACACGTCATGCCCATTATTCGGTAAGACCGTAGATTTTGTTGATTTCCTCTACTGTGAAATCTCGCTTTCGGGGCACCGCGAGACGCGCAACGTACTCCTGTATCTCTGACGCCTTCCGAACCACCTCTGGGGCGGTGTAGAGGTATCGTTTCCTGCTCTCCGCCATATTCGCCTCTTTGCGAGCGATTGACTCAGTGTAAAGCCGCTCTGCGCTCTCCTGCACAGCATCGGCGCTTATTTTGCTCGTCGTCGTCTCGCCCTTCACACGCACCTCCAGTTCCTCACGTGCCGCCTTTCGCTTCGCCATCTCCTGGTCCACTTGCCGCGTGACGCTGCTTTCAATCACCTCCTTCGCCATTCGCTTCGGCGGGGCAACGGGGTAGAAGCGGGCATCCAGCACCCGCAGCGCCTCCTTCCGGTGCTCGATCGACTGGTCGTGGAGGCGCACGACAAGTCTCTCCTCCTGCTCCTTCGACAGCTTCGCACTGGCGGCGGTGTGCCCTTCGCCCGCCTCCATTACGGAATACTTTACACCTGCGAAATTAGATNAGAAAAAAAAAGAAACAAGAGTGACGAACACTACAGCAGAGATTAAAAAAAAAAATTCACAAAAAATGACACGCGCAATCACCTCATATCCACTGCTGCATAACGACAAGGAGCAGCGACTGCAACTTTACACCGATCCCACGCCGCGAGAACTTCTTGATCAAGCGCGAAATAATGGCTGAGAGGTTTATGTCGCTTCGCATCCACGTCCACAACGCCGACACGACAGACACCCTCAGCTGGAAACCCGAAATCCACAACAACACCTCCATAACAACTCTTCCATTGCGCGATTTCCACCTGCCCCCAAAGAGACGCCCCTGTTGATTCTCTTCCTCCTCCTGGTGGTGTTCCCCCCTCGATAGTTGATAACGCGACCACTACCGATGCATCCTTTGCTGTGGTCGATGCGTAGAAGCGGTCAACACACTCCTCTAGAGAAACCGGCGGCACAACTTGACGTGTTGTACATCTGTCCGCACTTCTCAACTCACCTCGCTGTAACTTGTCATGGATTCCACTCTGGCAGGCGCAGTCCCCACTCCCATCCCAGGGAGAGTGAAAATCAAGCACAATCCACCGCACACTGGACGCATCACACGCAGTGCTCCATGGAAACAAAAGCTCGGCATCTAGCACCTCCCAGTCAAAACTGGTACCGCTACCATACTGCTGCAAATTTGTCAATATAGGGAGAACTCCTGATCGATGCAAGGCCGCGGCTACAAGGCTCAGTTCACCTTCGCCTAGTTCGTCCGCGAAGCCGTCTGGGTCAATAGTGCGGAAGTTGTTGGCAGGATTTCGCTGCAAATGCAAAAGGGCAGCTGCAACAGACAGCTGATCCCCTAGAAATAGCTCGTTGGGGCAGTAGGCGTTACCGGGGACGTTCAACCTCGTAGCTCCTTTATTTTGTCGTTCATGTTTCAGCACATGCATGAGCGAAAAACGGCACTGTTGTAGTTTGACGGGGTGCAGGTAGTGCTCGACACCATCCACGACAATGCCCACCACACGCGGGGGTCTCCAGACACCTTTTGGTTTAATTTCAACCGCAGCCCATCGTGTTTTGCCTTCACCACCACTCACGCATCCGCTGCCGTTAAAGAGAGCAGCCGGACTGAGCGCATAGTTNACCGCAGCCCATCGTGTTTTGCCTTCACCACCACTCACGCATCCGCTGCCGTTAAAGAGAGCAGCCGGACTGAGCGCATAGTTGGGGATGAGATGTGCCTGAACCGCCGCTCCGCAGTGCTCCGCCAGCAGCGGGTAGGCGGCGGCGCAGTAGGCCCTCAAGCTGTCCGTCAACCGAACCTCGTGCCTGAAGCCGACAAAATCCACCAAAGCCTGGCAGCACGTGGGGCACTCAGCGGTGGTCGCTCTGCTAACCCGCAGCGCAACATGCCGCAAAAGCCTGGGCGGAACGGTGCCGCATTGCTCGAGTGCCTCTCCGTCCCTTGCCTCGTCCGACAGGGCGAACACGGCGCTACAACGCCCCGCTCCGAGGAATCGCATATGCCTCCGGTAGGGAACAGAGAAAGAATCATCAAAAAGAAACATTATTTAAAAAAAAACAATAACAAAGGAGCAGGAGTGCAAAAATATCCAGACTTTGAATAAGCCTTTGTTATTCCGGCACATACACGAAGATATAACGGCATACGCCTTTCAGAGAAACAAAGAATCAGCGAAATGTGCTGCTTCATTCCTGCCCAGGCTCCTTCACCTGCACCTTCTTTACCAGTGCCACATACGGCTCCGCCTCTGGGGAACTTCCGTGCGTCCGTCGGAGTAGCTCCAGCGCGTGGAGGCACTCCGCCGACGTCCAGCCAGAGCACAACTGCGTCAACTGCTCCTCTGGTGGTGGGGACTGAGACAACAACTTGAGGGACTCCCGCCACCTCTCTTCACCAAGGCGTTGATCGCTCCACAAGAGCACTTGGTCTGGTCTCGGGCGTACAAATCGTCCCGTATTTAGCAACACGGTCATCGCATCATCCGTGTCTCGCAGCGCGAAAACGAGAAGTCTTCGTTCCTCATCACTTGGATGTTTCAAGGATTTAAAGAAATGCAATGCACTCTGATGGTCACTCGTGCGTAACGCCACGCTTCGCAAGAGCCGTGAGGTAATGGACGCCGAGATCGGCACCTGCAGAGTCCGGCTCAGCTGATGATAGAGAAATCCAGTGATCATCTGAGCGGCGCATGGCCCATCTTCACGGAGCGCTAAAGGAATACTATTTCTGCCTTTCCTTCCCAGATGTGTAAACCTGGATTCCTCCACAATCTTGTTAAACATCCGGCGGACTATAGGCCAGAGTGAAATCCTTTCCCAAGCTTCATCATCAAAACGAAGCAACACATCCTTCAGGAGCAACACGAACGGGCGGAGGTATGCGTCACTAGACCAGTACTCGGTAAGCATTACCGTTTGGTATCGAGCTATAGCCTTCACCGCCATGCAGAGATCCCCCTGCCCTCCAGCCTCTTGGTAAACCAACACAGCATGCAACAGTGTTGAGTACGGAAGCCACGCCACGAGCTTCTTGATCGAATCCAGAGGGATCGACGGTTTTGTGCAGACAGCTAGTATCCAAAGCTCTTCCACCACCTCTCCCCTTTCTTGAAGGTCAGTCACCGCTGTTACAGCTAGTTCCCACGGAAGTACACGGAGGAGTCGCGTCAGGCCATGTTCATCCACATCCAATGAAGAAAACGCAGAGGTTTTGGCCGCCCGCACAACCATGCACATCGACTCGGACGACTGCAGCAAAGCGCAGCACGCCCCGAGAACACGTCGCCGCCACTGCGTTCGCTTGCTGTCGCGAGAGGTCCAAACAACAGAAGAAACAGACGCGAGCTCGTCTTGCGCGAGTCTGACATCCCCATGAAGCAAGTCTTGCAGAAGGAGAAGCCATCGGCTTTCCGCATTGTCTTTCCAGATCAGCCTCAATATCTTTCGTGCCTCAGCGTGTGGGACCACATAGGCCACAGAGCCAAACGACTCAGGATACGGTCGTTTCGTTCGTTGTATAAGTGAAATCGCCCGCTCCCACTGGCCGTTTAAGACAAAAGCGTTCATGCTACTCTCCAGTGCCTCAGTATGTGCTGTTAAGTGCTGAGAGGGGGTTGATATTGCGATGCGAGCTGTCATGGCGGCGTTCGCACGGTGAAAATGGGTAGCTGCTCGCAGAACTGCAAGTGGAAGCTCGTGGCGATCAGCTGCTGCCAGCCGCACTTTGCCTGCAGCGAGGCACTTGGCAATCTCCCTGAGAAACGCCAATTCTGTTAACTTACCGGAAGTCTGTAGGTGCCGCACCAACATGGCGCACAGAGCATTGCAGCTCTCTCTGCCGGACACAACGTTATCGGATAAGAAGAAGTCAACGTATTGTCCACGGGCATCTGGCTCAGGCTCAGGAATACACTCTGTTCCAAAATGGTGGAGACGCAGAACACTTGGAATCACCTGCATGAAGTACCGCTGCGCCTTTCGGTCCGCACGTAGACAGACAAGCCTGGAGAGTTCTTCACTATGAAATGTGAAGCACTGCACCCCACTGCTATCTTTTACCCCTTCAGTCCCGCAGGGGTCGCGAGCACGCCTGGCCAGAATCAAGGAGTGTAGCCGAGCATTGTCTGGCAATTCTTTCAGCTGAGTCCAATCCCCGTGGAGGGCCACCGCCAGCTTTTCTTCAAAAAAAGCAGCATTCGCTGGTGTCAATGACATCTTGGCGCGATGCACAGCTTCCTCATAGGCCAGCAGCTCATGAGGCAGGGCAACACCACGAGGGACATGTGGTGCAAGCGGAAGCGCAACGTCGTAATAACGGCACCCACATAGCAGTCCAATGGCTTCAGACCATTGACTTTTTTTGATAAATGTGTGCGCCCTGCGTGTGAGCGTTCCTGCATACATGGAATCCCCTCCAAGACGTATAGTGCTTGTGTGTAGCTGCATCAACTGGGGATGGTCAGCAGGAATGCCAGCGAGGATGTGCCGCAAAATACTGTACGTGCAAACGTGGGCTTTATGACAGAGACGCAGCGCCGCCTCCCATCCCATTGCGCTGATGCAGTCTGGTCGAGCAAGCAGTGCAACAGCAGCCTCATGGGATTCCCATTTCTCATACACCTTCAACGCACAAGAAAAACCCGGTGCGTGCTTGATCGACTCCACCACAACTTGCCGTTCCACCGGCTGCGTGCTCGAAAGGGCTTTCTCCCACTGACTTGTCCGCTTGGTGTAGAGCCAAAAAAGTCGCTTTGCAGAAGGGCGCACCTCACGTGCGGCATTCACCACCGACAGTGCCATGCTCCAGCAGCCACTGTTCGCGTGGAGCATCGCGTACGCCAACGCCAGCGCCTCCTTCTCACGCCGCGGTACTGTCTCTGCGTTCACCAGTGCTAAGCCTCGACAGCATTCCAGTGCAACTTCCGGTTGAGCCTTACCAAGTTCGTAGCACCGCATCAATACACAGGGGGTGACGGGCAACACACCACCTAGCTGAGGACGCTCCCGCACGGCGATCTGCACCAGGGAGGCGAACCGCACTATCGTCTCTGCTGCCATGAGATGAGCGTAAACCGCCGACAAATCGGCCAAGTGCTGCCACATCGCTATCACAAGGTGCGGCAGGCGGCCCAACTGCTTCTCATCGGCAAGGCTGTCCTGTAGAAAGCGCCGCTGGGCCGGCGAGACTGCGGCCAATTGGGCCTCCAGCAGCCCCAGGCAGTCTGCCCAGGGAATATGGTGTTGGCCCAAAGACTTCCAAATCATCACCGAATGCCTCCTTGTGGCGAGCAGAGGCTTTTTCCGTCCATCTGCTGAGGTGTGTGCTTCATCCACCGTCTCCTGCATAAGTTGTAGCGCCGACTCTCTTGAGAGTGTCTGTCCACCGCCAAGATTGGCCCTCCAGCGGGTGAGCAGATCAGCCCCGCCCCTAAGCCGAGTGGTGCGCCGCATCCGGCATTCCCACCCAGCGCAGCGACACACACCCTCTCCTCCTTCCTCTTTTGTGTTTGCACGACAAGAACGAAAATAAAGGCACAGCAAAACAAAAAACAAAAGAAGAGAAGCTACTAGTATTGTACAGAAAAAAATGTGATGGCACACACAATCATGCACACACTCCTCTATTTCTCTTATTCCTTCCATTTGCCCCTGTCTTTCTTCGTTTTTTCGTTGGGTGCGTATGTCTTTTTTGTCGTCGGTGTTCTTTCCTCAATCTCCTCGCCTTGTGAAGCGCGCTACGTGATGAATTCGTTGGGCTTCCAGCGCCGAATGAACTGCCGATCCCTATACTTCCACCCCCTAACCTCCGGATCCGTCCAGCAGAGCGGCCGTGGGTTCTTGTCCACGTGCGGGTGTACGCTGTCTTCATACAGCCACGCCTTCTCCAACGGCGCGACACGCGTCTTGAGCTTGCGCACAAAATGACGGTTGACCTCATCCTTCAGGAACCACCACATCAGCATGCACGGGTCCCGTTCGTACATATCGGTGAGTCGAATGCGGTACTTCCCACCCGGGTAGGCTGTTTGCCACGTGATGGGCACGCGTATCCATTGGTCACCCACCATGACGACGTCCTTGATGTTCACGATGATGACGTGGTCCCCCGCTATCATGCCGGGCGTGAAGTCCGGTCGGTGTTGGCCCGTGATGTACTGCGCCGCAACGGCCGCCACGCGCGGTAGCTGCTCGCCCTTTGCGTCGAGAATCCACCAGCGCTCCCCTTCACGACACATCCACTGCTTCGACATCTCATTGTAGAGGGGGAGGCCCTCCGGGTGGTACTTGTGACGGCGCAGCACACTCTTGAAGGGCGCCGCAAGAATCCTGCTGGCCCGCTGCATTCTCCTCCGCCTCCTCCTACAAGACCGGCCGGAGCCACCAAACTACACTCTGTCCCTTCATTCAGCAAGTGAGGGGGGAGGAGAGGAAGAGCAGCAGGAATCGGAAAAAGAGATATGCCCAGAATACAGATAAGTCTTCAAAAGCCCCACCTCACCCCCCCCAAAAAAAAAAAAGAACAACGACGACAACAACACCAGCCTAACAACGAACAGACATCATTGTTGCTTTGCTTTTCTTTCTTTCTCTCTCTCTCTCTCTCTTCACAGGTTGTCGGAGCGTTCCTTTCATTCTATTCCCTCACGCAATCTTCACTTCACCGCGAAGACATCTTTAATACGTCTCTGCCGGTCACCTTCCTATCTTTCGTTACCCCGGATAACATTCGCCTCCCTTTCCCCCCTCAAGTCCCACACGCATTTGGTGCTCGTAAAAGGTGAATCCAGATAAACTTCACCTCCCCTACGGATCACGTTTCGTGTTATCTCTTCATTCCATTCATTTAGTGCCTTCAATCAAACACAAACACACACATAAATACAGACTCCTTCTCCCGCTCTCCCTCAAGCTTCTGTTTCTCCGCCTCCTGCACAGAGCAATGTAGTCGTGGTCTGCAAAGGGAGAGGTAAGGAGGAGAAGGGGAAACAACAAAAGAGGGACACAATGGAAGCAATCCCTCATCAAGGCCGGACGACTACTGCAAAAGAGAAGCAAATGCAAGGACAATATCCTCGTTCTGCTTCTTGAAATAGTCGATATTCACCTCCTTTCCTTCCGCGGGGTCCCGGAACTTCATCTCGGTGAGACCAGTGTAGATGTGCGGGATCTTCTCACGAATGTAGTTCCATGTAATCTTCTGGTCGCCGGCGGACTCCGCCACAACGCGTTGTCCCTCCTCGTAGAAAGTGACAATGTTGCGCAGCATCCAGCACGTCTTGTACAGTGGACAAAACTTGTCGTAGGGGGTAAAAGCATTCTGCTGCAGGAACTCCTCACGAATGATCTTGGCAGTTTCCAGGATGATCTTGTCCGACTCAGAGAGGGAGTCCTTACCGACCAGTTGCACAATTTCCTGGAGTTCCTCCTCGCGCTGCAGAATTTCAGCGGAAACGGAACGCAGGCGCATGTAATCTGAATCAAAGGTATTAAAGAACGGCTCCAGCACCTTCAAATACTTCGAGTACGAAATGAGCCAGTTAACTGAGGGGAAGTGCTTACGCTGTGCGAGGCGCTTCTCCAGACCCCAGAAGACCTGCACAATACCAAGCGTGGCGGACGTCACAGGATCAGAAAAGTCACCACCTGGCGGTGAAACGGCGCCAACAATCGTGACAGAGCCCTCGCGCTTCGGGCCTCCGATGCACGTGACGCGGCCTGCACGCTCGTAGAAGGATGCCAGACGGGCACTGAGGTAGGCAGGGTAGCCACCATCCGCAGGCATCTCGGCCAGGCGACCAGAAATCTCACGCAGAGCCTCTGCCCAGCGTGAAGTGGAGTCCGCCATCATGGCAATGTGCTTGCCCATATCACGGTAGTACTCTGCGAGGGTGATGCCGGTGTAGATGGAGGCCTCACGCGCTGCCACGGGCATATTGGAAGTATTCGCTACGAGACACGTGCGCTTCATGATAGATTCCTCACGGCCATCAATAACAGTGGTAAGGGTGGGGAAGTCCATGAGCACCTCCGCCATTTCATTGCCGCGCTCTCCGCAACCAACATAAATCACAGCGTCGCTGTTTGAGTATTTAGACAGCGCCTGGCTAATAACTGTCTTGCCACAACCGAAGGCACCCGGAATCGCACACGTGCCGCCCTGCACGGAGGGGAAGAGGGCATCCAGTACACGCTGACCAGTAAGAAGGGGATGGTTGCCAGACTCCTTTACAGCCACTGGTCGCGGCGTTCGCACGGGCCAGCGGTGCATTAATTTGAGAGTGCGCTTCTTACCATTGTGTTCCAATTCCACAATGTTGTCCTGAAGTGTGTAGTTACCCGACGGCTCAACCGATGTGATCCGCCCCTGAACGTTCGGGGGCACCATGATGGAGTGATTGTTCATCAGTGAGTTCTCAACGACTGTTCCGAGAATGTCGCCGCCTGTCACAAGGTCACCAACCCGCACACGTGGTGTGAAATCCCACATTTTGTGATCATTGAGCGCTTTTACTTGCACACCCTTGGGAATGAACACATTTTCCACCATACGGTAAATAGTATCGAGGGGGCGCTGAATACCGTCAAAGATCTCCGACATGATTCCGGGGCCGAGCTCGAGTGAGAGCGGCTTCCCCGTGCAGTACACTGGGTCGCCAACCGTCAGGCCGTCGGTCTCCTCGTAGACTTGGATGGTGGCGGTGTCNAGCGGCTTCCCCGTGCAGTACACTGGGTCGCCAACCGTCAGGCCGTCGGTCTCCTCGTAGACTTGGATGGTGGCGGTGTCGCCCTCCAGCCGGATGATCTCCCCCACTAGCCGGAAGGACCCTACCTGGACAAGCTCGTACATCGCGCTACCACTCATGTTCTCCGCAATGACAACTGGGCCGGAGACGGCCTTGACGGAGCCCATACGGTTTTCCGCCTCATACGGGTTGTGGTCGCGCGCCATTGCTCTTGTTTTGTTTTCCTGTTTCTTTCTGGTTGGTTATGAGTCGCACTTTTTGGATTCTTCTTAATCTTCTTTTTGCTCCTCTTTCCCCCCTTTTTTTCTTCTTCGCTCCTTCTCTCCTTTGTGTATCTCCCTCTCTTCTCTCTCTCTCTCTCTCTCTATATATATATATATATA